TGCTGAAAGCTTTTTCATACCTAATTCATCATGTATTATGTTATTCATATGTTCATAACTAATGTTCACAATGTCAGCAATATCTCTCAATTTAATTCTTCGATCTTGTGTGACAATTTTGTACACTTTTTCTACCGTTTCTGGAGTCGTAACCTCTTTTGGCCTCCCAGAGCGTGGCTCATCTTTGGTGCTTATCCGACCACGTTTAAACTCGTTTACCCAATTGTAAACTGTTGCATTTGAGGGTGCATGTTCCCCTAATACTGTCTGCAACTCCTCAATAATTTGTTTCTGGTTTAAACCTTTCAAATGAAAGTACTTTATAACAGCACGAAGTTCACTTTTTTCCATTTTTAATAAAAATACAATAGTGTTTTGCAAAAATAATTCTCAAAAAAGTACCGTTTGACCATATGTTATGAAATTTTGACAGCTCGCTTTTGACAGTTCACTTTTAACATTCACAATAATTAAGTAAATTAATGACCGATAGATGTCGCAATTCTAACGACTTTTCAATCCACCCTCGTGCACTACAANATACATATACTGCATATATTACATACATACATACACTACATACATAGCTAACATGCCTGGTCACATACATTACATATATACATAAACTATAATGTACAAATAAACATGTTTGTCTCATAAGTAACAAAAGAATATGATAACATTGTAAACAACCTTCAATAACAAATTTAATCACTAAACCAATAACAAACACCATTTATCATCAGTAGTAGAAATGGTATAAATAGATGTAAGCATAAACATGTAAGGAGTTCGAGATTATACGAATTCAAATAAAGAGCTCTTGCTCAGAAAAATACAAAAATATTTTGTTTTATAACTTTCCTGACTTGAGTATTAAACTCAGGCGAACGTTAGTGTTCAGTGTTGCCAGAACTTTTTGGACGAACCGGCTAAATTGGCAAATAAAACCGGCTAAAAACGGCTAAAATGTTTCAACTAAATTTCACATGTTTTATTTAAATAAATCACGAGTAAAAAGAAAGGAAAAAATTTTGCCAGCAAGAATTTGCAATTAGGAAAAACATATGATTGTGGCACATGGTTGGATTTTTTGTCGACGATAATTTGAATAAACAAGTTCGTTAAATTTAAAAATTTACAAATTGGAGCGATTTTAAAATGAAAAACGTAAGTTAATACTTGTTTACTTAATTAATTTAGTTAATCCAATGATTTGAAAGGTACTCGGCAGAAAAAAACTGTATTCTTAATCGGAATGCAATCTCAACCAGAGGCGATATAGTAAACCCGACAAAGAAATTGAAACGTAGGTTGAGGAAAGTCGGACTGACAAGATATATACACGTAGATCCTGTTTTTTGCGCCTCTGAAAGAATTTTAAAAATTCTATACAAATTTCTTTTGTTTGAAATGCAACCGTGGACACTAGCTGGCAGAAAAACTTGCAAATTTGCGTTCGTACAGAAAATTGCAAGTTTCTCTACATGAGAGAGAATTTGGGAGCATTTTTTCTTACTACCTGATATTTTGAGTGATAATTCTCGCTGGATTTTCGACGAACAAACCTATTGTCTTCCCTACAAGGCCTTTTCAGACTGACCGATTCTCAATACACTCAAATAGAAACCAATACATATAAAAAACGCTGTAAAAAGTTCCCTTCAATTTTAAGGCAGTAAAACAACGACTTTAAGTTAACATCAACCGATGCCATATGTTGACAAGGGACGCAAAATCACAGTTTCACAAAAGAACTGGTCAGATTTTTCAGAAATCCCTTCAATTCTGATGTAAAATATGATGCCAAAAGACTGCAGATCTCCCATTTAGACGACCGGCAGATGTCTCGTAGGATTCCCACAGAGTTTTGCTTTACATAGAAATTTGTGCTCTTTTATTTTCGTTTTGACTCACTTCAGTGTTGGCTCCTTTAATTCAAGTTGGCATTCGGTTTTCGGAATTCAAATAAGTTCTCAGCAAAAAAGTTTTTTAAAAAAAATACAAATGTGCACATAGTGCTTGAAAATATCAATTTTTCCCTTACCTTAAACCTTTGGGAGTGGGCAAAAATGATGTTTTGTAATTTAGGCAGAATTGAATATGCGCTATCTGGGAAGACATTATCTACATGTAATATTTATTCTGTTTGTTGGCACTAAATCCAAACACAAACGCATCTTAAGTGTCTTAACAGTGAAACAATTTCTTATTTCCTAAGTTTGCGAATAAAACTTCACACTTAAAATTAAGACATTTATAACAAACATTTTATGAAGAAAATCCCTTCTTCGTTTAAAATAAAAATAAGCGAAATCGGCCCAATTTCATACAACCCTGCCTGATATGAAATTTTTTTCCACGACAAGGCTAGTAGCCATTTCTAACAGATTTTGGGTCGCTTAGTCAAAAATGGAAACATATATACATATTTAAAAGAAAACAAGGCAAATAGCAAAATCGGCTAAAAACGGCAAATTTTTTTCTGCAAAACGGCTAACAAATCGGCTGCCGGCTAAATCGAAATTTCTACGGCTGTTTGCTATCGCAACCGGCTAAATCTAGCCGGAAAACGGCTAAAATGGCAACACTGTTAGTGTTCTAGGGTTAAACAACGAGTGTATTTTCAGTTTCTTATAAAGAATTAAGTGATGAATTTATAAACTGTGATCGAAATGTAAATTCGTTAACGCAGTTTATCGAGCTATATACCGAGGAGCTAACACCTCATGATATTGCCGTAGTGAAACGAAATATATCGAAGCGATTTGTGGGTAAATTTCAAAAGCGATGGGATGATTCGAAGAGAGATATTTCGGTTTTTTTTTAATACAAACTTTGGCTTAAAAGTATGTTTTGAAATGCCACAACACACTGATCAAATCTAACAGAGTTTTCCATTTTTAGACATATTTGTGGTAGATTTTCCATGTAGCAGCCAATCTACTTGTGGGAGGAGAGGAAGAAAGAGTAAGGAGTTTAGTGATTGCGGTGAGCGTGCTAAACGATACAAGGCTGCTGCTATAGCGGTATATATATTTTTAGTTCTATTATACGCCCGTCACTGTTTACAAAATTCTTTTGCATGGAAAACAAATAATTGATGCTGCAATACTACCTATTGGAATGCTTTCAGAGGAAGCTGAAGAAGCACGGAATAAGGATTACAGAAAGTATAGGCTTATGTTTTCTAGGAAAACTGATAGAATTTCTACAAATACAGATCTTATTAATCGATTGCTGGCAAGTTCTGATGCTTATATAACGTCCATAAGACGTCAACCCAACTAAAAGTCTATGGAATTGGATCCTGTTGTCAAGATATGCTAACTAATTAAAAATTTGTGTTATATTTTTTCTTTCCATATATAGTTATATTTTCGATTTTATTGTAAATATAAATATCAGGAAAATCAAATTTTGACAATGGCTCCATTTTAATAACAAAAATATATCTTTATTTGTGTGTGAAAGGTGTATGAGAAGTGATTGGCAAACAGCCACGCCCTTTTTTGGGTTTGTGTATACCTTTCATGAGAGTAACTTATTTGACAAGTTTCGCGAAAATATATTATTTTTTTTTTACTTGAAATAAAAATTTGTATTTAAAAATTTTTACTATAGGTCCAAGGGAGGTACCCCTAGGAAAAGGCTGATTTCAACTATTTTTGTTACCGTCAATGCCCTTCATGAGGGTAACTTATGCGCCAAGTTTCGTGAAGATATCTTCCTTTTTTGGGCTGAAATTAAAATTTGTATCTAAATTTTTGTTTATAGGTCTAAGGGAGGTACCCTAAGGGGTTGAGCGATTTCAACTATTTATGGAACTAGCTCACATATAACCTGTGTGAAAAATTTCAATGACCTAGGACCACTCTTTTTTTTCCAAAAAATGTATGGAGCCGAACCACTGTGCGAAACAAAAACTAATTTTAGAACCTGTCTACGTATGAAACGAGTTTATCAGTCAAAACTATCACAAGCCACAATAATTCATGCAAACAGCACCTCATACCTTTTCCTGTTCCACAAAAATTCTCTTAGCTTTTTGTGCATTCGTGTCTTATGTTATTTAGAATGTAGAATCAGTGTTGCCAAGGTGGTGGTACTTCAAGAGGCGGAAGAGAAGGATGACGCGTCCAAGGATATGAACGCTGCCCTCGACACGATGTCAAAATCGTTCTTGGCGATTTTAATGCCAAGGTAGGCAAGGAAGGGATCTTTGGCGCCACTGTCGGAAAATTCAGCCTCCACGACGAAACGTCCGATAACGGACTGAGGCTGATCGACTTAGCCGGGGCCCAAAACATGGCAATATGTAGCATTAGGTTCCAGCATAAGAACATCCACCAAGCTACATGGCTGTATCCAGATCGAAAAACGAGAAACCAAATCGATCATGTTGTGATAGACGGAAGGCATGCTTCAAGCGTTTTAGACGTACGTACACTCCGAGGGCCAAACATCGACTCGGACCACTATCTTTCTGTAGCCAAGATACCCCCCCGCCTCTGTGCAGAAAAAAATGTGCGCCCAACAATGCAAGGAAAGCTTAACGTCGAAAAGCTGCAATCACAACAGACGGCCAATTTATTCGCCACTCGACTCACACACCTGCTCTCTGAGAGCACTCTTCAACAATCCGACACACGCGAGCAGTAGAACCACATTTCCCGATCATTAAGTACCGCCGCCGAAGAAGTAGTTGGATTTCAGCGAGCCCGAAAGAACAACTGGTACGATGAGGAATGTCAAGAAGCCGCAGAGAAAAAAGATGCCGCCTACAGGGCCACGCTGCGATCGGGCGCAACGCGAGCCATGTGGGACCGTTATAGGGAACTGAAGAAGGAAGCGAGACGTATTTGCCGCAATAAGAAGAGAGAGGCCGAAATACGTGAGTGCGAAGAGCTTGAGATGCTGGCCGACAGGAAGAACGCCCGAAAATTCTACCAGAGGGTTAGGCGACTTACGGAAGGTTTCAAGACCGCGGCGAACGCCTGTAAGAACAACAATGGCGACCTAGTGACCGATGACCAGAGCGTACTTAAATTATGGAGGCAACACTTTTCCGCCCTACTAAATGGTAGCAGCAAGGAAAGTTGTGGAGAAGAAGAACCCGAGCCCGCAGTCGATGATGACGGAGTCGACGTTCCACCGCCTGACTATGACGAGGTACGTATAGCAATAAAGCGACTGAAAAACAACAAAGCGGCTGGAGCTGATAGCCTGCCAGCTGAGCTATTCAAGTACGGCGGCGAGGAGTTGATAAGGTGCATAAATCAACTCTTGTGCAGAATATGGTCAGAGGCACGCNGACCTCTCCGAGCCGTTAACCACAAAACGGGGTTTCA